CGCACAGCCGCAGAGAGCAGTGAGCAGGAGGCCAAGGAGAGCAGCACTGCTGAGGCGCCACCAGCAGAGGGAGACGGAGAGAAAACCCCAACCGAGGGCACGACCAATGGCCCTGCCGCCACTGTAGAGGTTTAAGCATTTTTGGGGCTAAAATGTTTTCGCTAATTTGACACCAAGTGTCAAGGAAAGATTTTGAAAAAGTGCTTTTGATTACTTGTTTTACATTTGAGTTTTACTGTACATTGGATGTTAGATCAGCGTTTGTTTTTTTGTGGAGAATTCGGGTTAGCATCGGACCGATCCATTAAAACTTACGTTTCCGCCTCAGGTTTCGGGTTTGAATTTCTGTATAATGATGCTGTTTGTGTGAAATCTGTGCATATTGATAATGTTTATTCACATGTGTAAAGGTTTTGCTGTATGATTTGATTTTTAGGCTATCAAATTGCGTTTTGAATGTATTGTAAAATAAGACCTTACAAACGATATTTCAGGTTTTTATAATATTTTTAGTTTGGAAACTGTATGAAAGAACAGTCTTATTGCTTTTAAATTATAGTGTCTGAAATGTTTGATGGAAGTGAGTGCATAAAAGCATAAAAGTTCGAGAACAACCAAAGAAAAAAAAAAAAGGCAAAGATGACTTTGCACTACAGGGCTGTCATCAAACTCTTTCATTTTTTCCCCTATTCGCTTAATACGTATTTCATTTTAAGCAGGTGTAACTTGACAAAAAAAGAATAAAGGGTAGCTTGAACAATACAGCTGTTGTGTTTTGCCTCACTATAAGCTTAAAACAGGTGAAATGAACACGAGCAAAAGCGTGTCACTCGTGCTGATCCAGGTCAGACCCTTGTTAACTCGTTTGTGTCCTCGTCAGGTGCAAGAACCTGGCCTAGAAAATTCAAATAATGTAAAAACAGCAGAATATGCTTAAATGTAACAAGCATTTGTAATACAAGCATTAGCCACAAGAGGGCGTCTGCTAACAAAAAAGCGAACACAGACATCCAGTCATCGAGCCAGTGTACTTTTTTGGTATGAATAATAGCTATACATTTTGAATTAAAAATGTGTGGTATTGGTAATGTGTGATGGTAGACTCGTATGAGGAAAATATGTCAGTTATTGTCACTATAGATATGTAATACTATAGCTACAATTTTACATATATTTGTAAATGCAAAAATGCAAGTGTATTTCATTTTATATTTGTATGAAAATATTGTATTATATATATATATATATATATATGTGTGTGTGTGTGTGTGTGTGTGTGTGTGTGTGTGTGAGAATGGAACTGTAAAAAATGTAAAACAAAAATTCTACATTCTAAAACAAAATCTCAAATATAGCATCTTGTATATATAGCAAGTGTCAGGAGAAAAAAAATGTCAGAAGCAGCTTTATTGACTGAAATTATGGTTTGTTGACTGAGGAATCCAAAAAACTATTTTTGAACTATTTTTCATTTTCCCCTTTCAATCAGTAAAAGAAAATGGGAAGCCCTGCAGTGATTCGGGAGAGAGAAATAATTGTCTTCTCATAACACACTGGAATAAATTAATTAATTAATAAATACATTTTTTAAAATTATATTATAGTAGGCCCAAATCCAGAGGCGAATTGTGGGTGAATCATGAAAGAAGAATTTAAAGCTCGCTATCTTCTTTTTGATGTTGTTTTTTGCTCAACCACCATATTTAAAAAAAAATGTTACAATTTTTTTTTTCTTTTTGTTTTTATAGTTAGGTCTGAAAATATAAAATGACAGTGTATCAGAATGGCACCTTTCACTGAAATATAAACCTTAAAATGATCAAATTATATCTGCATCCATTTTGACCTTTTAACCATAAATGTGTAATTGCTAAAGCTAAGCTTGTAACGTTATATAGGGCATCTTGAGGTGAACGCAAGCGGCTTTTACGGTGAACCAGGTCTGTACAGGTCAAAGAGGGAAATTCCCTTTAAATAAATCATCAGTGAATCAGCAGCAGCATTTGCATTCAGCTGTCACATGTAACTCCACCCAGCCATGCAATTATCATACCATCTTTCATGCAACATGTGTGACGGATGTTTCCCTTTCAACTTACTGTTGTGTATTTTTGTGGAAGTATCAGAATCAGGCCTCCGTCCTTTCTCTACTGTATGTTGAATAGGTTGTATATGTGAAACTGCCCTTATACACTCTGTAATTAGTGTGTTGCTCTGTGATGGGTTTCGCCTCTAATTGAGCACTTCAAGCTCACACTAAATATAGCAAATGAATTCAGAGATGTTCAAATGTTCACTGTGGTTACTCGTTATGCATGTTAACATGCTATTGGCCTTGCTGCATAGCTCTAACTGGCAGAAAATGCATGAAATATGGGCGCAGGACTTATTTACGTTTAACGCATTTACCAGATGCTTTTATCCACAGCCACTTGAATCCACAACACAAGTTATTTTATTTTGATGAGGACTATAAGCCAAAAACCTCCATACATTTGTGATAAAATAGTTTTGTTTTAAATGTACACAAAATTTGTACATTTTTAAACAGTACACTACATGAGGAGATTTTGTTTTTTTTCAGTCTCAAAATTATTATAATATTTATTTTTCATTTTTGTATTTGCTAAAAACCTTTATTTTTGTGTGTTTGTTTTGGATGGGCTGTTTTTTGTTTTGTTTTTTTGTTAGTCTGTAGGTGGAAGAAACAAATATTCATTTAGAAACAAAAGTTTTGACTGACAAACAAAAAAGTGTAAATAAAAACATAGCTTATTTTTATGCTACTAGCGAGAACTTTTTGGAACACGTTTTCCAAACATTCCCCCATCTTCTACTGGTCAAAAAAGGAGTCCCGCCCCAAAACTCATGCTATTGGCAGAAAGACACCTTTGAGTTTAAAGATACACATGATAGATTTTGTTTTGTTTTGCTTTTATGTTTATTTTATTTATTTATTTTACTTTTGGCTTTTAAGCACGTTTTAAAATTATTATAATATTTTTAAAATATAACTTAGTTGTTGTTGTTGTTTTTTTGTTATTATTAAAATATAGCACTAGTGCGAATTTCAGTCAGGTCAACAGAAAAGATTTCTGTTTCCCAAATATCCCCCCGTCTGCTATTGGTCGAAAAATATGGTAGTCCCGCCCCCAGACTCATGCTATTGGCGGAGAGCTACAATATCTGTCAGATAGTCAGATCTATGACTATAAATGTCCCGACACACATGTAGCTCCTAGAATTGTCCCGCTTCGGGTTCTGGTGAGACATTGAGACAGATTCAGACAACCAGGCCTCAGGTGACGCTCAGCTCCTCAGCTGGAGACCCATAACATCAATAAACGGCATCTGACTGTGGAGATGATGAGCAGCTCTGGCTTTGAGGGTCTGCACTTATACCTCACTTTACATTCGGATGAATCAAGTGACCCGAGAAGCCTAACTCTGTTTTCATTGAGAGACGGCATGATGGAGCTTGCTGTATGTTTTGGGGTTTCAGAGCAAGGTGTGCACGTGACCGTCTGAGACGGCCCAGCCCCAGACTGAGTATTCTAATGCAAACAAGGTCTCTCAGCACACAAAGAGGCTACATATCTCATACAAAAGATGTGTTGAGCCCGGACACAACCCACACAGTGGCCAATGTCCTCATACAGTCATGTTTTGTCTCTCTCCCTCGGTCTGTATGAGTCTTGAGTGGTACAGGCCTGGAACAATGAGGAATTCACATACAAACACAGACTTAAACACACTGGGGGTGTGTTTTCATCTCTTCGGGTCACGGTTGGTATGATGTGTGAATCCAAGATGAAGTTTTCAACATCTTTTCATGTTTGTGTCCATTTGGTGCAATTTGAAGTTGTATTAGTTATTTATGCACCTGTACATGCATCACACACTAACAATACAATTTATACAAAAAGCTAAATCTAATGTTTATTATGCATTTGTTACATGCAACATTTGTTTTTTGGACATATTTGTTTTGGTAGTAACATGCAAATATCATGGTAAATTAATATGGCAACCATTCAGTACTATGTATAAAAGTATCATGATAAAAATGCATTTTTTCTGGATTTGTACCATGGAAAATGCATGGTATTTTGATGAAGTAAAATGGGGTACTGTGCAAATACTATGGTACATGAATATGGCAAACATTTAGTATGTATAAAAGTGCTATAGTATTATGTTTTATAGAACATACCCCACATAAACATAGTTTTAGTAACAAATAGTAATATTATGTTCATTTGACAAACTACAACGCTGAAATTGATGTATGGTAAAATCATGGTGACAGCCATTTTATTTTATTTATTTATTTTTGTTTTGTTTTGTTTTTGGACACAATAACATGGAAATAGCATTATTTTGTTTTGTGGTACTGTGGAGTATCGTGTAAAGATTTACCGTGACAACCATTTTTATTTTATTTCATTTTATTTTTATATTTTTTGTGCTTATATGTGACAAACCAGTTACATAGTGATCATATTATAGTGACATTACAATAATACTGAATAATAAAAATAAGCAAGATACTACTCATACATGATGTAATTATTCTGTAAAGGTAAATAAACAAAAGATAAATAAACATATGTACAATATATAATAACAACAACAATAATAATTAAACTAAATTAAGTAATTAATTATAAATAATAACAATTACTATTGTTTACAATAATAACATCAATAATAATTATCATTATTATTATTAGTATTATTATTTCATAAGATGGTAAAGCATGATGTAAAGACATGTGTTACACCATAGTGTAATCATTTTTGTTATATTCTGGCCCTTACAGCCTGTATACAAGCCCTTTTGAATTGAGTGTGTCTCACAGGACACCGTGGCAGTAAATGATACATGTGCTGGACTGATTCATGATTGTATGTGTAGTGAAAGGGTGTGCCTGGCAGGGCCACTGTCCCAAATAACTGTGACGCTCTATTGCATGGCTCATTGTTGCGTGATAACACAGCGCGGGGACGACAGACGCCCCCGCCCCCTGGAACACCAATCAGATTCCCCGTTTCCAGCATATAATTCCCCATGTAGGGGACATTTATGAGGCATTATGGGAGCACTTTAAAATCTCATTAGACGGGACAGCTGCACTTCGATACTGCATGCTGCTTCAGCCATTTCTATTATTGCTGCTGGGGATAGTGCTACCCCCTCTGTTTTGAGATGAGCCCCATTTTGGGAGCTTAAATGGAGCTAATTGTAAGCTAAGTCAAGAGTGTGCATCTTTGCAGGCGGCATGATACATAGTAAAAACTGTAATTGTGCAGGCAGGAACAAGGCAGTAAAAAATGATTTATTTAAGTGTTTGTGCATGTACAGTGTGCAATGGGGACAAGATGGGAAAATATATTACTAAATTCATCAGCAGCATATAAATAAACATGGTTTCTTTGAATAATTAGCATAAATATTGTGAATCAAGTTCTCGTCAATTCACTGGTGGCTTCATAATCTAATATTAACACATTTGCTAAAGGCAATCCAAAATGAAGTAGGAAACTTAGTAAAATAACAAATAAATATGTTGTATTTCTCATATTGTTGTTGTAATTGTTGTAATTATTATTAGTAGTAGTAGTATGTTTT